TTCCTGTAATACAATATAGGATATCATACTGGAAATCAGCAAACAGGAACACACACAAAGTGCAAAATTGAATGCCAATGAACGCCATGAAATCGCATTTTTAGCACTCGTGACTATGACGTTTTGTGCGTCAATTTTTTCTTTGTTTTTATCCACAGATGAATTAGCAGCTTGTGTATCGGGTTGACCACATGTACATGTTGTAGATTTTACTGCCATTTTTTCAAAAAATATATCTTTTAATACCTTTTCAGCTACATCTTGACGAGGAAGTGATTTAGATAGTCCTTTTCCATGGTAATGTTTACCATTAGTCTGTAAATAAATGTTATTAAAGTATTATTGGCTGATTTACATCTACCCTTGGATGTTATTAAAGCATTTTGAAGATGAGATGACATGTGTGTGGCATAATATTATAAATAATATCTTTCTAATATTGTAAGAATTATAATAAATTATTAATTAAAATAACGAAATAATTACCTCAACATGAGCGATTAAAGATGATTTTGCAGGCATCTGCAATTCTGTTGTTCCAGGGTATACATGTGAGGTTCTAGCTTTTATTGTACTTAATACCGCGTGTGCATTTTTGGTTTGTATAGGTTTCCTTAGTTCTTTTTCTAAACAACTTTGTAATCTGTTACAAATGACTTTAACAAAAAAATCATCACATCAGTAACATGCATGCAATATTACATAAAAAATTACAATTTATTTTATATATCAATAAAAAAATTGATTACAGGAGAGTCTCGAACCATGAACATTTAATGTTCCTAAATCTTCAAATTTGTGAAGTGAAATATCATTCTCAAAAGAAAAAGATTTAATTTCATATTACGAATATTGCTATAATTCTCTTTTTTTTATATGTATTCACGGATTCTTTGATTTATTTATTCTTATATATTATATATAGAGATAATAGTTGCACTTCACAAGATTTCTAATCGAATATTGTTATAATTCTCTTTTTTTATATGTATTCACAAATTCTTTAATTTATTTATTCTTATATATCGTATATAGATAATAGTTACACATTACAAGATTTTTAAATATATGATTAAAGATTTATGTGCAATAATGTTTAAAAAATTACGAAAATCTATGAGTGCAACTGTGTATGTGTGTATTAATTACTTACATTAATTATTTAGAACATTAGAATACAGGAGAATTACGTGTCTCTATTGTATATACTCTTATTATTTAAAATATTTAAATTATCTTAAATATTTAAATTATGATCCTAGAGATCAAAAAGATATAATACATCTTTAT